TGATAAAGCTGCAATTAAACAAAGGAGAAAAAACGACAGACATGGTGACCCATCATTTTAATGGTATCACGATGAGGAAACCTGAAGGTTGTGGGGTTTTCAACTTCTACCAATCTTGAACTAAAATAGGTGATTTGAAAAGACAATGGTCTTTCACCTTATCTGAACTTAGTGGAGATGATCTCCAAACCTGCTGTTTGAGAGAGATTTTCTGTTTTGTTTTTTTTTAACTCCACATAGGTATTTTTAAACTCAGCCTGACACAGTAAGTGGCATGCAGCTCACACAGCTGCTCTAAAGCTAGATTCCTGCTTTCTTTTGAATCTCCTTTGTATATGTATTGACATAAGAGATTTTCAGGCAGCTGCAAGTAACAATTTAACAATCAAGCTTGCTGTAGATTGTTTAGAAATGTGGAATAGTTTAGTCTCAGAATTTCATCAGGATAAGAGTTTCTGAATTCTGAAATGCTGCTGTGCTAATCTCTATTAGTCTTGTCTTAAAACTGCCTAAAAGATTAAAAAAAATAAAAAAACTTACTGGGGAATACCTTAAAATGTGTTTTTTTCTTATTTATTGGTTTGTTTTTTTACAACCGAGTGCAAAATCACGCTTTTATTAAAGTCTATATGAAACTCGTTTTTAATTCAGTGCATTACAAACTGAGTCCAGAAAATATTTGTATGCTGGCCAACTTCAGCTATGGCATTTTTATGTGCCACGAGCATTATTTGTTGGGCCAACACTGGCTCTCAGAAATGTTAAAACAACCTCAGCCACTTATCGGTGCCTTTAAGTTCCAGTAAATTGAAATACAACGTAGCATGGTACTACTGGGACTCTATTTGGTATTCATGTCTCTTTTAGAAATGGAGATGTTTCTGTACTAATTTTGTGTGCGCAAAGCATCTCAGACACCTATAGTCTACACTGGGAGAGAATTTTTTTCCTAAATTAATTTGCTTTCACACCAAATAATCTGGAAAAACAGTGAGTCAAGTTAGCGAAATTACTATGCTTTTGGAGATGATAATTGGTCTACTTGTAATATATTTATACACAACTAGAACTGGAGTAATTTATGACCTCAAGAGTTTTCCTTATTCTTTCCACACAGATTGTATTTGCCACAAACAGATTTATCTGCATGCTTTCAATGAATATAAACCTACCAAAATGATGCACTTTCAAACATGCCAATTCATTTTATTTAAAGACAAAACCCCTTCAAGTAGAGGGTACTCTGCATTTTATAAGAGGAAGTGATGTCTGTTTCTGGTTATGTATCTTTTGGTTCAGAACTCAGTCTTCTGATGCGTATTCCTTAAATAAAAAAGAACCACTGAAGGATGAGTGGAGAAGTTAAAAGTTAATCTGTATCATCTTCTCCTTCCCTTGGAAGATTCCTGTATCACATGGTAGATATCACATGTTGAAATTTTTTCATATCTTCACTTTTGACTCAGAATTTTCTGAAGAAATAAATATTGCATTAAAACTACCTAAAGTAATAATACTGGCTATTTTTTTGATAGGAACACTGTCAAGTTTTCTGGTGCATTTGCTTACATAATCAATTTCTAACAAACAATAACCCCCAAATCCTTAAAATATTTACCTCCAGAGTAACGCATATGTAAAAAGTGCTTAAATGGAAAACAACTATTTGTGTAGCATTCAAAATCTGACTAAAGTTGTGGTTCTTTGAGAAACATTATATTTACAGTATTCTTGAAGCAGGGAAGCTGCTTTTCACAAAACCAGACTGAAATGGCACTCATATTCCCCTTCCCCCCGTATTTGATCTCTGTCCATATTAGGATTATTAGATAGGTAGATAGTGGGTAGTACCTAGGTAGTAGTACATAGTTGGGTGTTGTTTGAAAAAAGAAATTGAAAAAAAAATTACCATACAAGGATCTTTGCTGTTGAGGAGCTTGGAAAAAAAGTGTATATGATACTGTAAGTGAATATCCAGTGTTGAAGTTTAATCCCAGCTGGCAACTAAGCCTCACACAGACGCTCACTCCTGAAGTAGCCTTATTTTGGCTTCTCTTTCCCACCTATCCTGTACCAGCTGCGGAACTTAATTTTCCATTAAAAAAAAAAAAATTTCACTCCTTTTACAACAGAGGAAGGAAATGACCATGTTTTATTGTTAAAGATTTAGTATTTTTATAATGAAAGACTTATTAATTATCACAGTAATGACCTCTTCAGAGATCTTTTGTCTCCTGTAAGTCTGGAGCAAATTTCTCTTCTCTTACTCTATAAAGCAAATTTCATAAGACTTTCCTAGACTTCAAACTAAATAGTCCTGGTAGAAGTAGAATCACGTTGGAAATTCCTATTATCTTTCGTTGTGAGCAGGAGCTTCTCTTCTGTCTACTGGGAATTTCTGATTCTTCTTTACTGAGACACTTCAGGATGCTATGTACAGTCTTTTAACTCAATTGCAGAAATTATGTAGCATAGATAAAAAACAAGAAATTGACAGCAGTTAAAATACCTATCATTGTAAGGGAGCACAGATAGGTTGGGTTTTTTTTTGATTTTTTTTTTTTTTTTTTAATGATGAAACTTTCCCGGAACAGTATTTATATGCAAAATACAATCACTGCTAAAGCTGTAAGAGCTGTTGGCTAGTCCCTCTAAACCAACAGTTTGACCCTGTAATTAATTCTCTTTCTACAATTACTTGCATAAATATTGTCTGTATTTATTTATTTTAAGAATAATTCTATCTTTTGGTCTAAGCTTGCGGCAGACTGATCAGTTAAAATTAGCTGCTGGCCTACACAGCCCACTGGGGAACTTTATATACGTACAAATGACCTTATTGTCAAGTGTTTTATCTGTTAATATCTGGAGTGCTTTCTAGAAGTAAGCATACTCATAGGCAGGTTTCAGCTCTGCCTTCATTTTTGCATCTGCAATGGACTGTATGTTAATATTACTAGATAACTAACCTGTAGTATAGTGCTAGAAAAATCTAGAAAATCTAATAATCTGCAGTCTGATTTTTGAGGTGCATAGTACTATATTCAGAAATTTGCTAAATACCTATGAGAAAATTAGTAAGTGATGCATGTGTGCTGCACTTGTGTGACCAAGAGTTACTGAGGAAGCATACTAACAAAAGCTGACATGTTAATGCACTGGAAAGTGTTGCTTATTCAATGAGATGCCGGGGAAGAACTGTTTAGTGGTAACTTTTGAAAGATATTGTAGGTCATACCAACAGTCACAGACTTTCCCAGGACATCAACACATAAAAAAGTGGTGGTCATGCAGATAATGTAGATGCTGGTGACCCGCTCTACACTCTCATCATGTCATCTACTCATGATGTGACTGGAAACCACTGCAAGACTGGAAGGAAAAAGAGGGTTAAGGGGTTTTACTCCTTTAGGTCTTCCCTTACGCAGTAACTTGTTATTTGATCTGACAAGTTAATGCACAAGCTTCTTAGAAAGCCAAGAATGTAACCAATAATTATGAATTGCATAAGTACATCCAAAGTGATGTCTTCTTCCATACTAAGTTTGTCTGGAACCTTTGGCAAAGCTAGGCTGATAGAGGACTGATAGCTAGGGAACTCACTAAATTGGTATGGGATCACATTCTCATAATGTTTAGTACTTTCTCAATAGCTGGCTGAACTGATTCATTCATATGGCTCTAGTGCCTATTAGTGCAGAAGGTAGGAATATGCACTTCTGGGTGAAGAGGTCAGCAGAACCCCCACAGACCTGATTTAGAGTAAACTTTCATTTTGAGTTTTGCTTGCAAGCCAAAGTAGTGGTCAGAAAGGGGGCAAAAAGCAAGAAAGGTAAGATAGAGCAACATAAAATCAGCACATATGTTATGTGCTGTCGTCTCAGCAGCCGTGATCCAAACCAAGCAGCATCAGCAGTCATGATCTTAGGGCCATGTTCTTAGGGAAGGTAGTCTTGAGAGAGTGTCTGTGAAGCTCCAGGACAAAAGTCTGGCTGCAATGACAGCATGTAAGGGAAAACTTCTCTCCAGCAAGCATAAACTAGTGTCCCTTTTGCATGGGGCAAAGACCTGAGACCTCTCAGTTTCAGCCAAAAAGAGGAATTTAATGGCAAAACCAACTTCTCTGCCTGCTATTATTCCATTGTCAGTGAAAGGCAGTTTTACTGTTCATTTGTCAGAAGACATAGCAATTAAATATTAAATTTAAAATTTATCCAGCTTTCTCTACCCCGTTCTCTCTCCTTTGACCACGTGAACTTGCGGTTGATACAGAACAAGTTACTGACTTACAACAGTGGACATACATCTATATTAAATCCTGTCTAGAATGTGCATCCGTATAACTGAACTCTGAAGGAAACAAGTAACTTGTAAAGTATCTATCAGCAAGAATATATCCATGTTTCCCAAGAGAATAAAAAAAAGAATCAGGATTAAGGCATAAGACTTCTTGGCCAACACATAGCCAGAAATATTTAGCACCTCAGTGTGATAGGTGAAGTTTCTTATTAACCATAATTGTTGTAATGTTAGTTTAATACAGATTAGTTATGAGATTTTAAGTGTTTGTTCTTATCATCTTGCAACCATGTGATAAAAGCATTCAGTAAATGGGCTACTTATTCTGTTTTCTGTTATTTAAAGAAAAATTCACAAGCCAGATGCATTATTTCATATGATTTATTATGTTGTGCCACTGTCATTTGCCAAACTAGCAATTACTTCATTGCATGTTGAACATGTCTTTTGTTAAACACCAGCTTTTGCCTGTCTACTTTCCACCATACTGTTTTCGTTATTTCTGTCCTTGGTCTGCTTCTTTTGTTTGTTTTCTGTGCCTTCATTCTCAACATGTCTTTAAGGCACTGCATTTACCTGCTGAAATAGAGTTATTCATCTTCTAAAGCCTGTAGTATTCCCCAAGTCTGTATATTTTTCCTCATCTTCAGTGTTCCTCTGATTTAACTGTTCCATTTTGTTTTGACTTTTGATTATCCCAGGGTCCGATTGGTATGGATGGAAAGCTGGTAGGTGATTTGTTCAAAACCAGTGTAATTTAGGTCTGGCACATATTTCCTCTTTGCTTTCTTAATTACTCATGCTAGAATGTGTGTTAATCACATATTGGCTTCCTTTGGCATAATTTATTTTCACCTCAGGAGTATAGATTTTTAACAGAGTGCTGAAGAGCCACTTCAGTCTTTTGTGTCTATCCAAGGAAATGGAAGTCAGCCATGCTATTCCTGTTTTCTCATCATTTTCTGCCTAAATTGGAAGACAGATATTCCTACTTGGGTGCTCTGTCCAGAGAATGCTCTACAAGGATAGTTTCCTGGTACCTTTCAAAGACCAGGATATTATTTCTGACCATATATCTGTGACTCTTGATGGTTTCCTTTTTCCTCATTTTTGCGTCTTAATTTCTCTGTCCTGATTTTTTTGGCTGATTGGATATGAACAGCCTCATATCTCATTTTAAATGCATTCGTATACTCTCCTGGATATTGTCTGGTTAGATGCTACTTGAATTAAGGCACAAATAACCTTTAATTTCATACAGTACATTTGTGAATGTATTTGTGTATGTATTTGTATATCTATATATTTGGGTCTATGAGCCTGGAAATCTATGTTCCCAGCTCTTTAAAGATTAAAATAATGCAAAAGATGTGAAAATCCAGTTTCTGTGATTTCTCATACTGTTGTTTTTGCCTCCTCTCTCTTTCTCCTTTTCCAGGACAGGTCTTTTCTCTGATACCCTCAAAACATCTTTTCTGTCCTTTCATCTACTACAAGCCTCATTTCTTTTGCACACTCAACTTGTTAACTTGCAGTGTGAGCTTCCATTTTCTTAAGACTTTTCTTGCGCCCCTTGGGGTATCTTTCCACTAAGTAACTTTTCTGCAGTGTTTGCAGCCTCCAGTCAATAAGCTTTTTCTTTAATCTCTTTTAGCAGATTAATAGCTTACCTGTTGACTTCAAGTAGACCTGGCTGCACCATACATCTTTTTCTTTTAGTATCATTTACATATCAACAACTAATATTAGGTTAAATGCTAGAAAGGCATCATCAGCCATAGAAGACCTTTGATCATGATAATTAGAATAGGCTGCCAACCTTGATCCCTTTCTCTCCTTCAAAATAACACATTAATCAGGAAACAAGAATATAAAAGGGAAAATTGGTCTAAAGATTTTTCTGAAACCATGGCATATTATGCAGCTATAGCCACTGTAGTAATTCAGATTAACAATAAATAAATAAATAAATAAGCAGCAAACAGTAATAGGTAATCAAGTGCATGAGCAATGATCTAGAGATTCAAAGCAGCATACACTAACACACCTGATCAGTTGTTGTTGTTGGGACTGATCTGTACATGCATGCAAAGAACAGTAGTCAGTTGTTAGTTACAATCAATGTATCAATTTTGTGGTTCATAACATACAAATAAAGAGATATTTATTAGAAAAAAAAGCAGAGTAATGCTGACTTTTCAGTCTTCAAGAGTATCTTCACCCTTTTTGTTATCTAAAATTTGGAGAAATACTTCCAGCTAAAACATTTTAATCCACAAGTAACATGCAATGGCAACAATTTGCGCAGGAATAAACCAGGGCGATTTCAGCCACCGTGGAGCCCTTTTGGAAGCACAGGCATATTAATTGAGATTGAGCTTGCTCAAATGAGTTGCAGTATCAGATTGTATTCATGTTAGAGTGTTTTTTAATGAACACCAAAGTAATTCACAGACCTTTATTATAAAAAAGATCAGTATTGTGATGCCTTTTTCTATCTGTACCTTTATAAGCATAGCAGATGAGTTTCATAATATGGTGCCTGCTGCATCCTCTGATTACTGTCATTTACTGGATCATTAGTGAGAAAATTGTACTGTAGCTGGAGTAGCTAGTCAGGCAAGGAGCATCTAAGAGCATGCAAAAATATTGAAGGATTAGAAAGAACTGAAAAAAAAAACAACCAGAAAATAACTACCTTTGCTAATGCAAAGTTCCTTCCAGACTCCAGGAGCTCATAGCCAACAGGATAAAAAATTCCTGCTATGGCTACTTTTGTATTCAACATCTACATTTACAGTTGAGTGTAGGATGATTGCACAGTTGATAGCACATGTTAACTTAGAGTAATGCAACTATTACATTCTCCATTATTTTACAGAGTTCTGTGTCACAAAGAAAAACAATTGTCCTATAAAACTTCAGTTTCTAGCTTTCCCCTCTCTGTATTGCAGATATGATAAAAAAGTATTTATAAATGCACAATGACAGAAAGGCAAACTGGTAATGATGTTGAGACAGAGTAAAAAACACTTTCATGGGAGCATGGTTCCATCTCTGACATTCAATTTAGGCTATGTTTGTGTTATGTGTGTACTTCCTTTATATCATGGCATGTACCATATGGACACTGTACATCTAAATTAGATTAAAGAAAAAAAGTGCAGTTTTCAAATCTTTTTCTTTAAATATATATGTACTCTCTTTATATGCTTTCTACTGCTTTAAATCAACATTTTGGTAATTTCATACTTCAAGTTGTTTTTTGTTGTTTTGAGGTTTTTTTTTAAATCTGTGTCTTAGAGATGGTTTTTAATGGTTTGGTCAAAATTGCAACTTTAGATATATTTGTGAGACAAATGTTTTGTGAGTTTGTCTATAAAAGTTTGTATGCATACGTCTCAGTTTCGTTAATTCATACAAATCTATTGTACCAGCTGTCCAGTACTGCATAAGTAAGCAGTTCCTCAGGATTTTAGGATCAGATATAGCATATAATAGCTTAAAACCTGCTGGGATGGGAAGTCTGAGAGAAAGGCTGAGTGCTGAGCATATACCGATATCCAGTTGTATTCATTAACCCAGTGTGATGTGCAACTTCATAGAATTGATCAGTCTAGAAAACAGTAGTTCATATTAGAACTGGCAAACAGCAGCCAGTGCTTATTTTTGTCTGCAAACCTCTATAGTGCAATGTTGTTGTAAGGGACTAGTACAAAACTGCAGTACCTCAACAAGGAATGCTTTTAGGCTGCCTTCAGTGTAAGGATTAGGTAACCACAATAAATCTGTATTTTACTATGATTTCTCTGTAAAGAAATAGCTAATATTTTTTATATTTAAAAAAAAAATAAAATTTGTCATGTGAATTAGAACATTTTCCTGGTTTTTAGTTAAGTACAAGAAATCTTATAGGTTCCTAAAAAAAGCATTTATCTTCAGATGCCCCCACCCCCTTCTTTAAAATCACACAGAATCACAGAATGGTTGAAGTTGGAAGAGACCTCTGGAGGTCACCTGGTCTACCCTCTCTACTCAAGCAGAGCCATCTGTGGCAGGTTGCCCAGGATCATGTCGAGACAGCTTTTGAATATTTCCAAGGTTGCCTCCCTGGGCAACCTGTACTAGTGATGAGTAACCCTCCCAGTAAAAAAGTGTTTCCTGATGTTCAGATGGAAAAGTTTAAACTCTGTGTATCAGTACCTTCTGGCTAAAGTGACAAGGTTTTGAGACTTCTAAGAAGTCTTCATGCTCAGTTTCTTTCAACAAAAGCAAACATAGTTTCACTTCAGCTGAAATACTGGTGTCATAAAACACCGGAAGACAAGCTAGCTCTAGGAGTTTTAAGAAATTCTCTCTTTATAGGGAGAAATATACAAATACACAAATACAGATCCGTTTTATGATGTCGTGTAGAGCTGATTGGGTGCTTGTAGTCCATAGTCACAGCTTCTATACCACTTTGTTACACTTTTTTTTTTAATTTGCTTCATGCAAATAAAGTATAATGAGAGGGCTAGAATAAGTGATGACTTTCAGTGGCTTTCCTAGGCTAGGGGCCTCAGTCACAGGAAGTCTGCTCTGTAAGGACTTGCAGCAACAAGAGATACATACAACTCTTTAGTGCGCAAAGGGTGCTTCTCCATTTGTCCAGGGTAGTCCAGAGGTGATGTTGGTAAATTAGGGAGAAGAAATGTATCAGTTAACTCTTGGGGTGACTGACAAAGGTTCATCTACTCCTGACATGCTGGCTCAAATATCGGTATAATAGTTGGTTAAAACTGTGGTGCTTACAACAAGAACAAAAAGACTATTGTTTGGCCAGCAATATGTTCCTTCACTTTTTAGAGTTTGTTCATTTGATGGACAGCAATTAGCTCCTCCTTGAAGCATGGAGATGTTGAAACGTAGAACGGTTAGTGTTGGAAAGGACCTTTAGATCATCTAGTTCCATTCCTCTTGCCATGGGCAGGGGACATCTCCCACTAGACCAGGTTGTTTCTAAATCAGTTCAGCATCTGTGGATCCTTTCTTACTTGCGAATGATTAAATTAGGTCTTTCTTAATTGGTCTATAATCTAAACAATTAGGTTTCTCAAATGCAAGTTTAATGATGTGTTATTGTAATTCAATTCTGGAATGACTAATTGCAAGAAAGTTCATCAGATTGAATTAAAACATTCAAATTCAGTATAGACATAGGAGTCAATATAGATTTAAGAGTCTGACTTCAGTACAGTTATTGGATTATTTTGTTATCTCCTTATTAGAGAGTAGTGTAACTGTTTGCTGCTATTTAAGGAATTAATCCTTGTCATAACTTTTCATAACCTTATCTTTTCTTGTTTTTCAGGGTCAACCTGGTCCTCAAGTAAGTGCCATCTTATTTTCCTACACAGTTAAAGCAAAATACAGAGCCCACTAAACTCAGGCCATCTACAAAGTATTTTAATGGATTTATTTAAAACCTACTGTAGTAAGCTAGAAACCATTGCATAATTCAGTAAGGCAAATATTTCCCAAGAAAGAAACATAGGCCTCCCCCAGGGTTGTCTGAGTTCCCTCAGCTGTTTGACCAGATGGTGGGGTTAACAATGTTACACTGTGAATAAAGCAAATCTCTTAACTATGGCTTGAAACTTTGCCACCTAACTTTAAAGCAAGATAAAATAACTTAGCAAATGTGTAGCAAATGTAATACTTCAACTGCTTATTAATCACATGCTAATAAAGTTGTTATAATCTAGGCAGCCCTCAGTTATTTTAAATATTGCACTGCTTGCTATTTTTATTAATTATATATACTGCTGTGAGTTCATTCTGCTTTAAGAAGAGTAGAACTTTGTCTTATGAGCTGGAATTGAAAATATGGAAATCTGGGGATCTAACTTCAGTTTTAAGGTAGAAATAGACCAGCAGAAAGGAAACATTAGGTATAGCAAAAGTTAGACACAAAGTTTTTGAGCCAAAGAGTGGTATGGGAATGCGGAAGAGCAAGGGGAAAAAGAAAATAAAAGCCAATATCAAAGCCAAACTTAGTTAAATCAGTTGAAAAACTCTACCTTTTTACATATTCAAGATGCATTATGAGAAGTAAAGTCTGGTAACTCTGGTCTTTGGTACCATCTTAGCACAAGTATGTTGTCTGAAACAGGATTTTTGTCAGTGCCTTTTGTATTTCAAAATCATATTTGCAAGTCAAAGTTTTACAGGCTCATTGGCTGATAATTTTTTTAAGTTAGGATTTTCTTTATGGGAAGCAAACTTGTGTGTTGGGGGGGGGGGGGGTGGAGGTTTGTTTGTTTCTGATTGAAATTTTCTGCTGAAAGACAGTTTCTGTTACAAACTCTCATCCCACTCAGTTTGATTGCCTAGTACCCTTGCAGTGCCAGCCTCCATTTAATAGTATTACATAGGTAGGCAGTATGATATTGGAAATGTCCACCCCCCTAGTGCTTATGTTTCATAGTAGGCTCTCAATGTGTGGCCTATACAAAGTTCTTCAGCCTCTGTGCTGCTGGCAGTCAATGAGGAGATGGTAATTCTGTGTGGCACTCTTGCTCTGAATGAGCTCTGTTGAGGACCTGAGGCTGTTACTTGAACCTGTGGGCTGCCCTCTAGTTGATGTTGACTTGTGCTGCCACCCATGTTTTTTCCCTCTGGGTTTAGACCCCCACACTTCAGTTGCTTGGAGTGTCTCTTGTTTAATGCCTGTAAACAGCTTCTCAGTCCTCGGAGCTTATATCTCTACATGAAATGCCCTGAGGTAGCTGTAGGCAAAGAACCACCATGGAGATGACAGCAGTCAGTGCTGTTCCAAGGGCAGATAAACAGAGAAATCTGGTCATGATTGTAAGAGAAATGTGGTGCAAACCATAGGAAAAACTCTCTAACTCATCTATCCCCATTTTATTAACTTCTCTGTGTCCCAAATGATTATACAGAAAACAGGTACAAGGTACAAGGGCCCACAAGACTTAGGATGAGAATTCTTACACCCTAACTTCAGTAGTTTCTCCTAGTGGAAATGCTCATCTCTGTGTCATTGCCATTCTTCTGAGTATCACTTATCATTATTCTTAGTACTGGCTTTTCCTACTTTTCAGCTCAAGATACTGTTATTGTGGCAGGAAGATACCTATGTACTCAGTCATTTTGACTGGCTGGTTGAGCCCCTGAATAATATTTGCAAGGGCACTGGTGAGGAAGTCATAACAGCATGAAACAGTGTAGGATTCAGCTTTAGATCAAGATGTCTCAGCCAAGGAGCTTGTGTGTAGGTGTTGACATGTGAGGTGTCTTAGCTCTCCTTGCAGCCATTGAAGGTTGAGTGCACCTAGAGGCCTCTTCATCTCATTGTAAACTCCTAGGGCTCCATTACATTGCCTGCATGAGATCATCCAGGGTCTTCAGCCTAGTTTCTGGTTGTTGTATGTACAAGGGAGAGTCTGTGTTGGATCGTTGTTGTACCTGTCAGTCATGGGCAGCTGTTTTGGATACCTAGGAACCTCTCACATGACATTAGTTGTACACATTCATGCCTCTTAATTCCAGATTTTGATTATAGGCAGTTACTGAATCAAATAACCATTCTGCTGAGTTGCTTTCTAGCCTGATGATATTTACATGTCTTAAGCAGCTACACGTAGGCTGTACATTTAGATGTGGTTCCTCTTAAGCTGAAGCCCAGATGCAGATGAGATAGCACTTTTAAAATGTTGAAAGCTGTGGTTGAAAAATCTCAAGACTATATTTTTAAAGTGCCAATAGAAACCAGAATGTGTTCGCATCCAGATAAAACAAGTAAAGCCCCCTCAGTTTCTCATAAAACAAAAACAAAACAAAAACAAAACCAAAAAAAAAAAAGGAATTTCAGCCACCTGGGATTGTCAGTAATTTTCCCAGTCTTACCTGTGTCCATGTGAAATCCAAAATAGAAAGGCATTGGTCAATTTGGTTAGTGAGTAAAGGCTTCCTGGTTTCAAAGATCAGAATTGCTATGCTGACAAAAGCAGGACTTAGAAATTTTTTGATGTCATAGCTATGTAAGTCCAAAGTGAGATCAAAGATAAATTCTAATGCTTTTTATACTCAGTGTTTTATTAACACCTATTCTTTTTTGCTGTGGTTTTCAAAAAGTAATTCACCCAATACATTCACAATTACTGGGTTCAAATATAAATTCATAACAGATCAGTAACACCTCCTATCTTTTTATCTTTAAATTTTTAACGCTTTTCCTCAAAAATATAACGCAAAAGATAATTTTGCTTCATATTTTCTTGTTTTAAGTAAAAAGAAGCTTTATTACAACCCACAAGCTTTTTTTCTTTAGAAAAATCTCTTGGTTCTGTTGTATCTCTGAAAGGTAAAGAGCACAATCAATAGCTGAATTTCTAGAAAAACCTTTAAAAAATGAAGTACTTTGTTATGATTTCAGTTGTCTCAAAAAGAAAGCTGTTCTAAATACCATGTAAACTGAGTTCCTTTATAGAAGAGCAAGTAATAAAAATCTTAATATTTTTGCTGAAACTTAAATGCTGCATTTTTGAGTGACCTCAAAGAATACCTTCTTTCCTTTGTTTGGAATTTAAATATGTATTTAGATTAACCTGAACTACAGAGGTTTACTATGCCAGTAAATCTATACAGCTGGACTCTGCCCATACATCTCCTGTTTAAAAAAATAATGGAAATATTCATGTTTGTCAAAGAACAGACTTTAGCTTCTAGTCTCAAGAAAATTCCGTATGGAATGTACTATCTGGGTATATAGAGAAAGCTTGTTATTTTTAACTTTTTTGTTGCTTAGAAGTAGAACTCATATAAACATTAGAAAACAGTGCAGTTAGTATTATGGTGAAGGAAGATAAAATGATCGTTTAAAAAATCCTGCTGAACTAAAACTGCTAACAGCTATAAATGTGAGGCTGGGTGCTGTTTTGGTGTGACTTTGTCGCAGTCAGCCAACTGTTTTCTTCTTTGTGGCACTATCTTCTTCCTGCTCTGTCTCTGGTGTAACATACTTTTCCCCTTTTATGGCAGCATACATGATCACTCTCTGTGTGGGACTTTGAGATACAGCATCCTCGCAGATGCTTCTCCCTTCTCTTTGGCAGCCATTCAAGTCTGCATTAGAAATTGACAAAATACTAATGATTGATACTCGTTTTAATGAGATTCTTGTTTTCCTGTATGTGATATGTCTGTGGAAGTGATGCTTTTTCAGTCTGAAGTTTTCTAGTGTTGTGTGCATGATAAAGGGTTACCATAGCAATTCTGATGACAAATGTATGTGTGTGTCTTTTTCACCATTGAGCTTCAGGGTGACTGGAATATTCTTACTTTTGGATGGCAGAGATTCTGATTCACAGTTATACAGGCTACTACTGGCTCTGGCACTGTCAACAGAACTGGTAGGAACCATTTTAAATCTTAGTTTTCTGTTTTTTGTCAAGGATTGAGAAAAACAGTAGGACATAGGGCATAGTTTTGAGCTGTTTTAGATGGCAGCAGTGTACATAAGAGATTTGTTTATCACTTCCTAGAGAACAGTGTGATGGTAGGGAGAATCCTAGGCCTCAGGAAAGAGCTGAGTATCTGACAGCAGGATGAATGGGAAGGGTTTGTCTATATAAAATGTATTTTAAGTCCTCATGAGTTTCCCTTTCAGCTTTGCCAGTTTGGATAGGCAGCTGCATTCCAAGATCTGTTTAATATTCCTCTCAGTTAGCACATGCTGTTCAATACTGGGGCAGTGGATACGGTCAAGTGATCATGTATGTGTTTTGATGGCTATTTAAACTATGGGCAAGGTACATAATATGTCCTATTGACTAACACTGCAAAGTGGTCTCTACCTGTCAGACTGTTGGACATGCTTCTTTTGTTCTGATCTCCATAAGTTGAGGTGTAAGCTCAGTGCTCCTTGTTCCTAGCAGTTTGCCTTTAGGATTGCCTCTCTGGTTATGTGGAGAAGACAAGAAGTATGCTTACAAAGGACAGAATCAGCATAAGGCTGGAGAAATAGTTTATCATCTTGAGATACACAGTAGTTGTATACAGGCCATCAGCTGTTCACACTTTAAAGAATGATGTTGTGGGGTGTTTCTCCTTCTAGCAGCTGATGCCTTAAGCTCCTGTGTAAGCTTCTGATCTTGCTGAAGGATTGTACGACTCATTTCAATATACACATGCTAGTCTGCTTTTGAGTTACGAATTGCAGTTCAAATTTTGCTACCAAGCTTTAATAGTTTGTTAACAAAAAACAGGTACAGCAACTCAATTTTTTCTTTTCTAGGCAAATTTGAAGTGATGTTATCTTTGGTTTTTATATTTGTGTGTGCGTACACACTTTATCAAGATGTCATC